CCTGAGAAACGCTGTATTAAATCTGATAGAATCTTGCTATCTCAAAGAATACCGATCTAAGTCAAAAATATTGAGACGTAAGTAAAAAAAAAGTACAAATGTTCTGGTATTTCCGATATTGATTTCAAAATGGCGAAACAAAGATTACTCGAGCGCCTCTTGCGGCGAAGTTAGAAGCTGTCTAAGAACGACTCAATACAAAAAGTTAGTGTGTTTACCAATTTATTTCTTACGCAGATAAACGGTTAATTTTTATTTGTTTCCAAAAGACAGAATTATAGAAAGAAAATGAGATTGGAAGGAGAGAGTAAAGCAAGTTTCTTGTCAGATAAAGAGATAATTATATTAAATGAATTACTTCAGATAATATAAACTATTGATCAATTATGATCAGCCAGCAAAAAAATACATAAATCTCATTTTTGCTCCATAAATAATTAGTAATTGTATCAGAATTTCGACACTAGAGGCGCTCTTTGCCTCGCCAATCATATCAATAGTAGAATTTATAAGTGCTTTTATGAAGGAAATGTTCGCATTGAGCCGAGTTAGTGTAAGTAAATCACATAGCTAACACAATCCTTCTAATACTCATGCAAAAATACATCTTATGTAATATATTTATAACGCTATATACATCGCTATCCTACGTAGGTATGGACTTGTGTATACGATAAAGCTGTGTTCACATTACATACATACAAACCATACAACAATAACATCAGGTCGCTAGGCACTCTCCCATTCAATTTATAACCGTTTAAATAGTTTTATAAACTGGCAACCCTAATAACATATTTTGCACTAGCGAGAGACACTACGTCGCGATCTTTCTAGAACAAATGGTACAAAACTGATGTTATTGTACCATGATAAACGGTTCAATATTGACAATTGTCACCTTATTGTAATTTGGCAACACTAAAAGCACAAGACATTATTCTAATTTGTTCGGGATGTGCAAGGGCGGATCTAGGACATATTTGTCTGAAATCAGGGTCGGACACCGAAAAAATACAGATTGAAATATTGTCTGTAGTTGACGCGAGTAGTATTTATATACACTTAATTGACGGTTTAAAACGGGAAGTATATAACTTATTTAAACTGTGTACCAAAGTTTTACATTGCTTTGAAGCATCCGTAGACACGGGGTGGTAGTTAAAGTAAGTTAACTAATACATTTCGCGTTTTAAACCGTTACACGTTCTTTGTTTAAGTGTACTTTCAAGAACATAAGGACGATACGATATCAATTTGATATGCTAAATGTACTCTTATGGAATGGTTACAGACGGTAATACCGGATCTCCCCTGGATCCTCCAACATCCGCCCTTGGTTATACTTGTAGAAAATTCATGAAAAACTTTATACGCCGTGCTTGTACTTCTAAAAGTATCTAAAACGTTTACTCTATCGATATTGACAGATGTCAACGTAATCTTCAGTAATGTACACTGGGATCTGTTTAGAAAATGGATACTTATAATTTTAATACTCGGGTAAGGCATATGTATCGGTAGAAATTTGTATAGATCAATTTGAACCGACAAAAACTAGGTTTCGATTTACAAATATATAAACTATATTGACTCCCTTAGGGTAACGAAGATCTCGTGTAAGAAATTTGATACAAGTCTATTTTCGTATCGTCTATTATAAGTTTTTCCCCAACTACCCTCAGGGAATGTAAGAACGACAGTAAAAAGGCACTTTTCACCTCGTTTCATGCGTTTGTAATAAACTTGACGTGACCAGAAAAATCTTGGTCGAACTCGATATTTCCAGTGTACTTTCAATATTGATAAATCCGTGTTTAAATTTAAAGAAAAGAGAAGAAATGAGCCCGCTAGAGGCAGAGTAGCCCAACTGCACTTTTATAACTTGACATATTTATATTTTCATAGTCCAAATAATAGTTACTTTACTGCGCATTTTTATTTTCCTTATTGAAAATCATGTTTTTTGTTATTAGGCCATTCTAGCTCTAGCAGCCTCAAATAATAAAAACCCAAATAAAAATAGCAGTGCATTTAATAAAATAAAAACGACTGAGCATATGAGGCGGGCGCCGCGTCTGGAGTCAAAGTATCAACTCCGTTTGAGCGTACTGTACATATTACATGCTTTGGTAATTGGTTGACGGCTGACAGCTGTCAAGACAGCGTCTGACAGCCGGCACAGAGTAGCGGAATCACAGATTAAAAACTAGCCAGACAGCGTTAGGTACAAACTAAACACAAACAAAGAGTTACAACTTGTTCCAGCTATCCGTCAATGGCGAATAAATGGAAACTGTAAAACGAAAAACAAAATCAATACAATTGTTCGCAAGAAGGCACATACAAGAACAAAACTTAAAAACTAATAAATAGGTACATTAGAAATTAAAAACGAAGTGTGTGGTTACGGCCCTTTCTACATGTGGTTACACAGGGTGTTTTTACAAATTTCAAGTAGATAAAAAGGTGTTTCATATTATCAGATTTTTATAAAACCTATTTTCTTGTTATTTAAATAAAGTATGACATTTATAGAAGTTAAAATATAATACGAACAGGCAAAACAGTACTTATTTGAAGGCTTCTGATTGGTCGAGAGTTTTGACCATTCAGATCGAGGCAAATAGCGAGTTGCGTATTCGTCTTAAATCCCAACAGCGATATAATTCGTAAGATCTTGTAGCACGGACCTAAAATAACATAAGGAAGACGAGTTAGTTACAGCGTTTATTAGATCGGCGTGCAAAAATCGCTACGTGTGCATTCGCCCTAAGTTTGAACGCAAGGGTTATACACTGTGCGACTTTTGCAATTTGCGATGCTTATAAACCTACTTGTACAACATATTAGTAGATAGTGTAATAACGATACTAAATAATAACATAGGATACTACTATAACAAATTAACTAAAAATTATACGATTAATGTTATAATGGAAAATCTTTAAAAAGACGGATGATCGCTCATACGAAATGCAAAAAAAACACTTTACGATCCATTTTGGCAGAGACGGTAAACATTAGGAAAGGCGTAGTACGAAATCCAGACATGGCACTTAGTGATACAGGGTGCGTCACGAAAAACAACTCTATTCGTTAACATATAAGGCGGAAATTGAAAAATATGTAGCAAAGATTTTAAAGGCAATCAGAAATAATTGCGTCATGTTTCATGACGTCACCACATTGATACAAGTAAAGAAAAACACTAAAATAAAACCTATACATATAATAACGTAAAACTACACTATGGAAGCCGTACTTAAACACTACTGCTGTTTTAGAGATGTGAAAGTAGCTGTTATTTTACGCACGTGATATTTCACAGTGAAAAATCACCTAATACGTTACGTAAGTCAAGTATCAAGTTAGTGGAGGCACAAATATAACGCAGATGTTACACAACGGAGTAAGATTTGATTGATTTAAGAGTTTACGGACTGAGCAAGCGATAGACGACGGGAATCGAACCCGTAGCTTAGTAAGCTTTACATTATAACACTAAAAAACATTGCACAATTTGGGGAAAACAACAAAAAAAACAACTTCAACATATTGCACGCGCAGATGCTATTTTTTCGAGGGTAAGAACTAAAAACACTTTTCACGAATCGTAATACGAAAATGGTCCTTCGTTGATTAAAATACTGATAACACTAGTTATTGCTCCGTTGAAATATTAACTACTACACACCAATTATTTTTATGTTAAAGTCCATAACGCCGTTTCGAACCTTTCCACAACGTGGAGTTTTATATAAACTGTCTGATTTTAATATGGAAGACGTATTAATACCTTTTATGACTAATTAACCACCATGAAGGGATAAACTAAGTCGTTATTATCAAATTTACGTAAGACCGAAGTGAACAACAAAAATAACAACGCGAAATACATTACTTAAACTTAGTTAAAAATTATTTTAACCACGTCTTGACTTTTCTGATGCTTTGCCGTAGTTGGGCCGTCGGGCCGTACCAAAAATTATTTTTAAATAAGCTTAACTAATGTAATTAGCGTTTTAAATCGTTAATGACAGACAGTGACGAAAATAACAGTTATTTATAACCGTGATTTTTAAGACAATACCACGTCACTAGTTTTATTAAGTTGTTGGTCCTCCCGTGACCATGTTCGCTGTAAAGCGTCCGAAACGTCGGTTTGTTGTTACAATAAATTAAAAAATAACTAATATATTTCGATGTCAAAACTGTAAGTAAAAATAATAACATTAAATTATAATGATCGTGAAACTATATATATATATATATAGTATGTTTCTTTTTTTTACTGTCCAACCTTCACGATGGTTAAAACGCTTGAAGTAATACACCCTTATCTGATTTGTGTTTGTAACTTGTATATTAGTGAGTCCCAATACCCAAAATGCCTCGAAAACCAAAAGAGGTCATTCTAACGCGAACTAAAAGTGCAAATCGCTTAATCTATTATTTACACACACTAGCGCTAAAACCACACAACTAAAGCCGCGTAAGTGTACACGGACAGGACAAACCTATAATATAAAATATATAAAACGAGAGACCACGCGGTAACTTCTATATTTTGCTTTGACGGTTTTGTTTCCTCATACCAAAAAACCTCAAAATAGTTTGAGCGTCCCGTTTCTCATTTTTAAGCGAAGATTTAAATGCTGACAACGCCGTTTTAGACACAACTTATTCACAAGTGATTCTTCAATGCTCTATTTACCATCACCCTATATATAAGTATTATTTTCCTTTGTTTTAGCGTGACAGATACATCACTATTTTATACGTTGAAGTTTTCCTGGCGATATATTAAGATGAGCAGATTTCTTGAGGAAGAAAATCCTGCATATGTTTTTTTAAAGACCGTACAATTGTTTTCCATCTAAAATTGACACAAAAATAATCGCACGCAAACAATCGTCCTATATATAACGCTCGCTCCGTGGCATGTTCGCCCTTAAGCTTTGCTCGGCGCACGCGCATAAGGGCGACTTTCGTTAGAGTCACTCCGAGTTGTTGAAGTATTCGGACGCGTTGCCGCGGCATATGGGGCACGTTCGATTCGACTGTAACAAAAAAAAACGCAAATATGACATGTGGAGTTTCAATAGAACATTTTAACGGATTAAAACGCGAATTTACTCTGTGATTGATAATGTGGAATCGTAGTTAAAAACTAATATAGTTCGCGTTCTAAACGTTAAAAAGTGTTTTACTGTTTAAATAGAACCCATTAACGGTTTAAACCACGAAGGCCCGACGCTTCAGTCACCCTGTGACCATGGTTGCTGCCAAGCATCCGACACGTCGGGCTTCCGTTATTTTATTTTTATAAAAAATGGGTGATAAAGGCCGTGAAATTTAATCGCGTTTAAATCTGTGGATTTCCAAATATCCAAAACCAAAATTGGCGTATCTTGTTTGGATGTTTTATGGCTGGGGCACACACGTTCCATCATAAAAATTATTTAGTAGATAGACACTTACCCTTAGCCATTTGTCGACGCACTTCGCGTGGAATTCGTGCGCACACGGCAGCACGCGCAGCGTCTGCCTCGCCTCGAACTCACACATGCACACCACGCACGACGTCTGCTCGCCTGCGGATGACACAACCTCGTCTACAATCATGACATTAGATGACATCTCGACACTCCATTGTGGGGGGCAAGGGACATACGGCTGTGTCCGTTTTACGAATCTATTTTGTTTACAGTAAGTCGTTCAGACGCATGTACCAATTATCGCGAAAGGCTTAAGGCGACGGTGAAAGGTAAATAAACAGTGGGCAGTGGACAAAAAGGGGAAAAGTATTCATCTTTGAGGGTTTCTGATGCGTGTGCTACTACTATGATAGAATGATCTAAATGATCTTTATAAAGATGAGAAGGAAGTTTGAAAAAACAAATTTTAATGCCAAAATTTTAGTCAGACACAGTCGCGGGCGTAGCTAGGTAATATTATATTTCATCGAATCCAGCAAAGTAAGCCGTTTGGAAAATCTAACAAACCTTGGTGTGTCTGCTCGCAGTACTTATAGCTGGGCAGCAGGTCGATCTCGTGCCGCGCCAGCCCCCGGGGCTTCGCCTCGCCCAGGCGCTCCGCGAGCGACAGCAGCGCCTCGTAGTTCTCCGTCTCTGGGGAATCAGCCCCGTCCTCGCCCCGCGCCTCTCCGTAGGGGGACAGGGGGAACATTGCCAGCAGATTGAGGAACACCTGGATCACACAAATCAACTATCATTTACGTCAATTGGGCGCTACTAACCAGTGACAGGTTGACAAATAAGACGTAACATTATTCTATTATACGTTGTTTAAGTTAGGATGATAATTGACGTCGCTAGAGCCAGAGTAGCCTAACTGAATTTTTTATAACTTACTTTTTTTTATTTCACAGTTATAGTCTAAAAAGGTTATCTACAAGAGCACAGTGAACGAAAATTGTTAACAAAATTCTTACACAGCTTATTTTTTAATGTTTTGTAAAATAAATAATATAGAACTGTGTTACCTGATAAGTGGGTGGTGGGGGCGGCAATGACAGCTGCGACGCGACGTGCAGTTGCGGTAATGCGTTTACGAGGCCGCCTCCACCCTGTATATAGAACATATTTAGCACCAGCTATTTGTTTATTCAGACGAGAAAAAAAATACAATATTGATTTTCACATTCCTTTTCCTTTATTCTAAAAAGGTATGTTATGAAATTAATATAACTTATGTTTTACATATATTCATTATATAACACGTAAATAAAATAAAAAACACAATTAAGGAATTTCAAACAGTAAACTAGAAGAAAAAAAATCACTTAACACAAAGTATATATAAATAATTCGATTTTATTAATAGAAAATAATTTAGTTTTTAATTCGGTAATAACTAAATGATTTAATAACAATATCAAATTACAAAGTCAAAACACTAGGAAATTACATAACAATAAATAACAAAGAATTGATCAGTAAATAAGATTCAATATAAATCCGGCTCGTCATTACCTGAGCGTGTATATGGTGAACGGGATGTGGATGTGGGTGTGGAGTCCACCGCGGCGCAGTGCGCACGTACGGTCTCCCCCTTGAACCGGCCCCCACCACGTTCACGCCCACCCCGACGCCGGCGTGCGCATGCGCGTGTGCGTGCGCGTGCGCGTGCGCCACACCGCCGCTGCGACGTTGCTGTAAGAGATGCTTCGTTGGGTCAAAAGCAAATTAGAACAAAAAGTAATGAAAATGTTTGCATTCAAATATAGTCTATTATATATATATATTCAATATGTATTTTGGCATTAAAGAAAGGTAGTACTGAAATCCAGTATGTATAGTATGCCAGCCACTGTTTAGTGTACAAACACATAAGTTCGGCAAATTACTTGCAAATAAATACATATAATTGAACAGTAAAACGGACACAGAAATGTGTCCCACCGGGAGTAAGGGGAGTTACTTAAAAATTATTCAATATAAAGCGAGGTTAATTTATATATTTTATTGTTACAATTATTAGGCACGTTCTTGGAAGAACTGTTCCGGAAATTTGACAAAAATACAGGGGAACTATTTACATAAACATATAATTGATGTAGTTATTAGTAAAAAATAGTGTTTTTCGCCTTTTGAGTCATACGAAATGTAATGGGCGGATTGGGACGGAGCCACAGTAACACTGTACCTCCCATTCACACAACAAACGCAATAATGACTGATGCATAAGAATAAGAGCTATCTCTATTATACTTACATGGTGGTGGTGCGACAGAGGGTGTCTCGCGTGATGTGACGCCATCAGTTCAATGGGTGCCCTCTGAGCCTAAAATAATAATAATAATCCTTATGCGATAGAAAATATTAAAGAACAATAAAATTTTACATAAAATAATGTAAATCAAAAGTTATGTTTTTTAATCGTTAGCCCAAGCTGTACGTGGAAATATTACATATTATAAATTAAGGAGAAAGAAAGCCTCGTGAATTAGACCATGAAACTTTTAAGGGTTGAATCGTAGAACGTATAAGGCATAAATAAAAGTGTATAATTTATACATTTGGTCCTTCGAGCCGGTGCTACTGTTCACGTGCAAAGTTGTTCGAAGGTGGATATAATATGAAGTGTAAAACGTGTATCAATTTAGTTACCTCAGTGGCCAATAAGAGCGGAGCATGATGAAGATCGGGCGTGGCTTGCAGCGGTGACAGAGTACCCTCACCGCCGCCTAACATATCTAGACGTCCGCTTTCCGCACGCTAAAAAAGTGCAATATTTTTAAACATTGTTTACATAACTGATTTAACTTCATGAGATCGATACTCACTGTCCTTATAAGCGTAAGAGAAATACATTTTTACAGTAGGCAACACATTTCATAATAGAGATTGTTAGGTTTTTATGTTCAGTGCTATGTTTCCCGAACAAACTACGCGACAGATGTACTGTATATAAGATTATACCGAAGTAAGGAGATACGTACAGAAAAGTAAAGTATCATAAAATAATGGGTTTTATGAATTTGATTGTTTTTTTTTTGAGAATATTATTTATTTTTTTTGTAAAATTTCAATGCCCTAAATTAAAAATCGATTTTAGATTGAGTGGCATATATAGCGTTGCGTGCTGTTGTTCTGACCAATTAAGCTACCGTGTGAGTATAGAGCAAAAGCTAAAATCAATTTTGGCCACGCGTGATAAAAGTTTAAAATTTTCGATGCCTTGTTAGGCGTCTGGTTGCCTTTCAAGTTTGTATGAAGTAGCTAACTACAGTACAATCGATATTTACTTACCTGCGAGTTGGCGATGTAGTGTGTGTGCGGATGCGGCGGAGAGGCGAACGGACCGCGGGGCGGAGGGTGCGGCGGCGCGAAACTGCCGTGGTACTGAAGACCGGCGTACACGCCGCCCATCTGTGAGCAGGGATTTTTTTTTTGGACGTGTTGGGAGTAGGGGAGGCAATATTGACCTGGAGGTTGTCTTTTAACATTTGTCGATATTAGTTTAATAGTTCATAGACTTTACTTGGAATAACTAATTGCTTGTGAAGATATATACTTTTGACAAATACAAATGTTTATATTATTTAATAAAAAGAAAAAAAAGCGGAATTATCATAACAAATTCCGTAAATGCAATTTTAAGTTAAATGAATTTTTATTTAAATATTACTTAATAACAACCCCCAGCTCAATATTGTTGTCGAGTCAATTATTATTAGTGGAAATTATCACAATTTACGCTTCTTGTTCGTTGTGATAGCTTCATAGTCCAAAAGTAACCGTATACCAAAAACACTTAGCAATTTTAGGCGCGACGTTATTAATTCAAGCGTGAAAGATTATAGTCTCGTTCTTGATAAAATAAATGAGATAAGCTGAAAAATAAACTATGTATATTCTATCTAAAATCCCGAAAATGACTTCTTACATCCTCATCTGCATCATTAAATGTATAGCTTTCGCGGCCATTTTCAAACGAACTTAGGTTTTCAAGCTGGTCAACGAGCTTTTTATTAATAACATATAATTTTTATATCACAGATGAGAACATACAATTCATCTGCCATCGTTTACTAAAACAGTGTAAAATATACTATGTAAAAATGTAATTATGCAAATTAGTTTTGAGGGTAGTTCGAAAATAACGTACACGAGACATTTTGAAAGCGCCCAGAGTATGGTATAGCAGAACATAATGCTGAAATGGTTTTATTGAACGAGATAAGAATCCATTGTGACATACCAAGCGTAACATAGTTGTTTAGTGCTAATGTAACGTTTAGAAATGTTAACTACCCGCAAATTCTTAAAACTATAGCTTACTACCTGTATGAAATTTATTATACCCTTTGTAAAATCGCATCCTTGAACACTCAAAGCTTTTTACATTACTTTTTTAAAGCTCTTTGCAAAGGCAAGTGACACGTTATGTTAAACGTGAGACTTAAAACACTGTTAAACTTGAAAAACTTGAAATATTTTCGAAAATTTCTGTCATGCAATTAAAAACAAACAAATAAAGCATATATCTAATAAACTATGCGCTCTTTAATGGCAGAAGGTGAAAAATTTGTGCGCACGAGTTTGCCATGCCCAATACTACTTTAACTAAAACAAATAAGATTCAAATTGGGTTTATAAAATTCAAGAGTGTTCAAGGTAGCAAGCAACATACATCAACACATTCTTAACATTTTAAGCTTAAGTGAGAATTTAACAGTTTTTTTATGTTAGTAGTCTAGGAATTCCTTCTAATTAGTCACTTATAGTTCGTAGGGGCTATTTTATTTACAATTTATCTAGAAATCAAGCAGCTATAAGGGGGGACGAGCGTAGACGTCTAAATTTTCGAAAACTTGTGTGCAACGCAAATAAATGTGTATGGTGTGGGTTTGAGTGTCTGTATGTGTAACTTTATTATAGTTTTTTACACACATATTACAGTGTTTTGAGTAGAAGATTCAACTGAATAAGATTATATAAAAAGTTAACTTATAGCTTTTATACTTTGTGAATGGTCACTTAAAAGACTATTGTGTCAGTGGTGAAATGTTATAGTTTAAGTAATCAATATTTACAGTCGCTTGCTAAGAAAGTGTAACAAGTACTAAGTTCCCTTCATTTTCCCTCCCTAAAATTGGGTGAATTTGGCGACCTGACCATGAAGTTTTGCAGTAAAGAAAAATTGTTAGTTTTATGAACACTCATTTATGAACAACTGCACAGTATTCCTAACGCGCCGTGACTACAACGGACGTCGCAAGCTCAAGCCTTGTCGCACATCGGGCCACTGACACAAACAGCCACAAAACTCCACGAACGAGTATTTCCTGTCGTTTTCATACATTTTGGCAGCAATATATGAGCATAATTTCAAGACAAGTAATAATTATACATTTCTACTACATACACTACTCCCAAATAGCTAAACCTGGTTGGTAGCTATACCACAATTAGTCCTAAGGGTTTAGCCATCTTTCTTAAAATTTTAATCCGGATATTAGTGGGTAGGAATATCGAAATCCCGTGCAAGTCACGAACCGCGGTCCTCAGAGAAGTTTAATCGGGTTTCGGTATCAGTCTGTGGATTTCCGAATGTCCAAAGCCAAAATAGATCGACAGCACAACTTGTGTTCACGTTCCATGGCTGGTGTATTTCACCTAATACTTGTCATTGTGTCATTAAAAAAAAACCTTCTAATACGTCAAATGTGTGAAAACTCGAGGTTATATGCCAGTGAGCGATTTTTGGGCGTGGCCGCTGGCAAGTGTGCGGGGACCCTAATACAAGCAACATTAAATACCCTCGCCGCAAGTTGACGCATTAAATCTGGGCATGCATATCATTCAGTGCTCAACGTTACAGTCGTGATGGAACCCATCTATCCAAACATGGACTATTGTACCATAAACAAAGCTTTTGTGGTCAATAGACACAGAGCAATGGTGCCGTGAAGATGGGGGGGTCACCTTGGATATCGCTTTCGACTAAATGGGTTTCCGGGCTGGTCGAATTCAACCGAGTCGAAAGACGGTGAAAATCTTAACTCCTATCCACTTCCAATGGCAATATTTCTCAATTCCACGATCGAACAGCACGGAAACCCACATGTTTGCAAATATTATGGTTTTATTTTTTCCAAAATGGCCGCAAAAGCCTATAATTTATGTTAGAATTAATAGCCATTAATAATTTGTATAAACTATGAAAGCTAGTATACTAAGGGATTTTTAGACATATTTTTAAACCGTATGTAATAAAAAATATATTCACAACGAAAACGTTTGTTCCTTAAAATTATTGTGTAAATTAGTGTGTGTATTGATGGGGTTAGTGTTGCACTGACTATAAGATATATGGTTAAACTAGGCAACGCACACAGGACAATACAAAAAGAATAGACATACATATAAACTGCGTAAGTGCTGACATATTAAAAATGAACGATATCCAAGCGAGAACTTGAGGTGATCACAAATTTCCCCCACCTCCCCACCAGATTAGTCAACAGATACATGTTAAACTTTTGCTCGCAAGTTTCGGTAGCGGCTGTTATATGAAAACGAGACTATGGAGCAAAAAGTTGTGTGGCTAACGGCTACAGAATTCAATGCACAAGTTAGCGAATTGTCGATACGCGGTGACAGATAAAAAACAACAAAAAATCGGGGATTGTGAAAAAACAAAGGGTAATAATATTATAAACGCTAGAACGCATTTCGTCAGCGAAACTAACCTATAGCAGGCAACCGGAAGAACTAAGCAATGCACCACAAACCTATAGCCGAAACCGGACAAGAGCGGGACCAAAAAACAAACGACCCAGACGTGATTTAATCTAAACCTTACATAATAAAAAGGGTGTAAGATACAAGCATTGTAGAACATCGAGTTGACTGAAATATACATATTAATCAAGCGGAAGCGTTAGAGACATCGGAAGAACGTTTGCAGCTACGGAAACAGACTCACGACAGTGCTGCCACTACGGGTACCAAAGAAAGAGTCGTCAAATACAAATCCACCAAGCCAAGTTAAAATTAATAAACTAGTTTGTACAGGATGTAACAACGCAGACTAGGTACAGATGGCAGATAATGCCACGACACGCGAGGACAAGCTGCAGCGGACCATCACTCGCGTTATATCTAGACGATAGCGGTGCAATAAATGGAGACAGTGCATTGATCTAAAATCTCTATGAGTTTCAAAAGGACGCGCCCGAACTTACATACTTCCGGCTTATTCGCACAAACGTATCGTCGTTGCTGTCATGTCATATGAGCGAAAGAGACGGCGATATTTCTGTCCCCTTTCCTTTCCTTAATATGAATCACTAGCGATGACAACACTTTGTCCGAACAAAGCAATCCGTACAGAAGTATTGTCGTAACTATTTGTTTCATATGAGTGAAAGAGACGGCGATATTTCTGTGCGCTTCTCTTTCTATTATATGGAATAACAGAGACCACAATACTACGTACTTCGGCGCTTCGATAAGCGATCTTCGGTTGACAGTTCAAGAGGCGTGTACACTACAAAGCTGAGGGTTACATAAACTAGAGATTTCAAATCAATGTATGGATGCATGCACGCGCCGTTACGTCTCGGATCACCCTTAGCCGACATCACACTTCGATTCGGATGAATGGAATCATGCTTTCACAGGCACCCTTAAGTTAAAAAGCTGACGTATTCGCATGCCCGGTACAGGGTAGTCGTTCCGGCGCTAGATGGCGCTATTCGCAATATTGAGGAGGCGCGGGCAAGCGAACACAATTCGGGAGACAATGACGGGATGGGGGTAGAGGACCCTAAGTCGGTACCTGATAGCGGAGCGCGTGAGGCAGCGCGGGCAGAACGGCCGGCCACATCTCGGCGCCACTTAAACTCGCCACCTGCGTTAGTCGCGCGAGACGCGAGCGATTGTAGACCAACTAGCCATACCGGGGACGTGTTACGACTTTCTCGGTAATAATATAAATCGCGATAAGACGCTACCGAACAGTAACTTAGATCTCAGATAGACTGTATATATTTATCTCCTTATACAATAAATTGTTTTAAGTAAATACAAGTGAAAAAACATCTGTAGTTTACACGAGAGCCAAATAAATAAAACATTTTAAACGGTTTAAAACGCAAAGTATTTCTCGAAAGTATTACGGCAGAATCAAGATTTAACTATAATTCACGTTTAAAAATCGTATTAAGTAATTTTATATAATGTTCTGTAATAACGAACCAGTGACTGGATGTAGGTAGCTGTACACTAAAACTACCCTCATTCCCAAATGTCTGTATTTGTATATAAATTATATATGTGAATTGTTGGTAGCGTCTTAGGATTGGTGAAATTGAATAACTTACAAGTCGTATCACGTCATAACAATTTTAGACCTAAATATATTGCCTACCTACACTTTTTTGTCATTTTGTGACATCATTTCACGGCAGCGACAAGTACTTATATGCTATGCCCAGATTAACAATGTATTTGGGACTCGTTTTTGTAGTGTGTGAAAACAACTTAACCAGATGTCAGTAGTACAGTAAATACAACTTCTGTAAACACTATTCGTAACTTAATAAATGATATAGCGAAAAAAATCTTTTTATAAAATCGAAAAAAAGAAACATTTGGACAGTCTGGGAGAACGGACCCTTGGATTTTGAAAAGAGCGTTAAATTTTTCATTCCTTCTCCTGTTTTAGGCGTCTTCGTAAGGTGGCAATACATTTTTGAATTAGTGTTGCCACAATTACAACATGGATTACCATAACACAATTACGTTGACATGACAACCAACGCTTCTAACAATCGATTGAAATTATCGACTAAAGCATTGCTATTATAAAACTTTTTCATTAATATATAATAATAATCGAATGGACACGTCGATTCAATTGAAAAGTTGTATATTTCAAAATTCTTCTTCCGATTGATCGAAATTTATTGATACATTCATACAATTCATAATCGATTTTTAATCTTAATTCTATTTCAATAAAACACTTTAACGGTTTAGAACGCGATATACATATTAGTTAAACATTTTTAAAATTATTTTTAACTACAGTATCCCTCCTGTGACTTCCACATGTGACCAGGGCTGCTGCAAGGCATCCAAATGACGACCAGTAGTTAAAAATAATTTTTAAATAAGTTTAGCTAATATAAATCGCGTTTTAAACCGTTAAAGTGTTTTATTTAAATGTGTACTACTCTCGTAAACTACAGTACTTAATACGACTATATCTTAATTTTGCAGAATCTTACGACTTCATTACGTTAAAACCTTAAAATCACACCTGTGTCCGTTGTGGGTGGTCCCTATGCGCATGCGCATGGTGTGGATGCGCGTGGTGTGCATGGGGATGGGAATGGTGCGCGTGGTGTGACCACGCTACGCTTCCCCCGAGCGCGTTCAACCGCGCACCGCGCAGTGACATCTGCGGTGGAAGATATTGGTGTAATTAAGTGGGCTTCCACCACGGGACCATAAGACAGTATATGCCATTTCATTCCCACAAATAGGCATGACTTAAGGACATAATATTGTTTATTTGGCAATCATTTAGTAATACCAGAAAATAATAAATATAAAAAGATTTAATTTTATTTCGAAAATGCTGATGCCGAAGGGTCTTGCTTCAGCATTAGTTGCAGCACAGTTATGCTACAACACTGGCTTTCAGCAGAACCCTACTGTTTGTCTGTTAGACAGACAGAATCATGAAAAAAAGTATTACAGACGTTATATTTTTTTAAACGAACTAGCGAATGGATGTGGGTAGTTAAACACGCTAACGACCCACATTCTTTGAGTCCAACGCTCCTCACCTGATTAATATCTAGGAGCACGGGCGTAGAGTGTGCGGGGTGAGTGAGGTGCGCGGGGTGGGGATGCTGCGGGTGTTGAGGGTGTGGTGTGTGCTCCATCAACCGCTGGTGGGTGCACACCGGCCCGTTGCCGCCGCTCATGTAACGAACGCGGCGTCTGAAACATTATCATTTATACTTACAAGACTGTTTGACTTGTCCGACTAATTAAAACTGTATTGGGCCTTTCCTAAGTTGTAGAAAGCATAACATCTCCTGATGGTGCCTTAATTTTTTTTTATGTCAAAAGGTCGAGAACTATTTCTCATGACTGTCGAACAGCTCAATCATTGCCCAATTAGTTTGGCGACAGTGCGGAAGAGCCATCGTTCGAGTCCTGCTCGTGTCATTTTTTCAATTAACACCGAATTATATATATAATGACACTATATAATTATATTGACCTCCTAGTTTAACGTTACGCCAAGCATTATGAGAGAAAGGTCTTGGGTTTGAATCAGTTGATTCTGTCTGTCGAGGTACAGATATACTACTTATCTTTAAATAAAATCGATCAGTAAATTTATACAAAAATGTGATTGTCCCATGCCCCACAGCATGTATAGCTGAGCTTAAATACTTTTAGTAAGAAGGTTAGAAGCAGCTGGATAGCCCCAGGGGGACATTGGTCTAAAATTGGACCACCACAGTAAAGAAGTGAGTTTTATCAGCCGCATGATGTTTTATTGTAAATGGTAGGTACCACAAAAAGTCTACATTTGTATCCTACCTAGGAGGGTAGTGGTGTCTGGGTGTCCGTCTCTCAACAGCTGGTGCTGGAACTGATACATTGCTTTCACCTGAAGATATAAAAAGGTATCTGTGAAATCTATATATAGATAATATTGATGTCAAAATGCAAAAATGTGTCAACTATACAGTGTAGTTACGCGACTAGTATACACAGTTTAAATAAAACACTTTTGACTGATTGAAACCTCATTAGATAACAAAGATCTGGCTTTTCAGAACTTTACAGTTGGATCGCTGGTGGACAAGATTTAAAACCCGTAAAAGAATTTTCAACAATGCATATAAAATTTACTTATACTTTAATGTTGTTATTGGTTTAAAATTTAATGGGTAAACTAACGCCCGTGACGACGGCTGTTTCAAAGTAGAAGCTAAATTAAATTGTAAATAAGTTGGTATATTTTGCGTTTTAAACCGTTAAGAGTATTTTATTTTAATGTTTACTACTCGCGTAAACTATACAGACAGTGCTTATCTATGATATCATTCAATACATATCAAAACAGAGCGATACTTTTGTCAATTATGAAATCAACAAAGCAGAAAACATTTACTTATTGGAATAATTACTGTATTTTTTAAATATTCAGATTTCACTCACTTCACTGGGTCATTTACTAATAACAGGCTCGAAAAAGAAATGTTATGGAAATAAAGAACAGAAGAAAAGATTAAATTCTAATTCGATAAATATTATTGTCAATATATTTCTATGATAGAAAACATTATCATAATGTGATGGACCGTTTTTAGCAAGTTCATATTTATAGAAACTAGAGCAAGCTGAGAAGATAAGGAAAATGTTTTACCGATTGTAGGTGGCTCACCGGATGATATATGCCTGCATATCCGCCTCCGCTTCCTGCTGGGGCTGTCCCCGGCCTTGCTCGACAGCTCTCCGTCTGAGGACCCAGCACCGCTGACCATCGATTCCACTGGACCCTCCAGTGGATTAGTGTCCTGGAAGAGAATGTGTGTTTATAAGATTGGTTGAACTGAAGAATTTAACTTTTTTACAGGCCCATTGGTGTATGGCTAATAATCAACGGTTTGTGGATTCGATCCTCACCGAGGCCAACATGTAGCTAATCAAATACTGTCTATAGTTTACGCGAGTAGTACACATTTAATTAAAACACTTTTACGGTTTAAAACGCCATATATTAGTTAAACTTATTTGAATTCGGCTGCTGCAAAGCATCCGAAACGTCGGGCCGAAGTTAAAAATCATTTTCAAATATGTTCAAGTAATATATCGCGTTTTAAACCGTTAAATTGTTTTATTTAAATGTAGCTAATCAATTTATAAGTTTTGAAACATGCCGGTCTTTGGAAATCTTGACATTAAATGGAAGGTAGACACATCGAAATTCCATCTGGCTCACGAACCATCGTCCACAGACGATACAGTCTGTAGATCCGAATATCCAAAGCTAAAATAGATCGACAGAGCATCTTGTTTAGATGGTATATGGCTGGGGTATTTCAAGTCAACCCAACTCCTTCTCCATCATATAAAACTGAATTAAACCAGTATATTATCCGCACTCACCATATTGTGGTGATGATGTGGAGCATGGTGCAAATGTGGGGACTCGGCAGACGTGCCCGCCGCGCCGGGACTCACGCGCACCTCTGAAATCACAAACATTTAATTATCACACAAACCATGTGAAAGTACCCACTTATCAACAAAAATCTATTGTGAGATACCGATCAGGGGAATCCCCTTTTTTCAGGATTCAAGAGAATGAGATCACGTCAGACACAAGTCTTGTGTATTTTTTTTACATAAAAATTGTATTAAGCAAATATTGAAGCCATTGTAATTGATAATATGTTATAATAAATATTTTAATATAGTATATAATCTGATTATCAAAAGCGACTTTGCCTTTGGAAAATTGTATTCGGATTTCAGTAACATCTTTGGGGCTTGGGCGCATAACGTTCAATTTCGAGTGATGTAAATATTTAAAATGTACATTTAAAACTTAGTACGTATTTTTTTGACTATATTGTGGCATATGAATAATAAAACTGTAATAAACTTTATAAATTTAATACGTTAAATGTGATGAAATTGACTGCAAGAAACAAAGAATATTAATTTCATTCCATGACCAAAATAATTCGACAGTGCGTCTTATTCAGTTATTATATATGCGTGTCTGCCATTCTTTGAAAATCCTGTCAAGTGTGATAGTCCGTTTCCCCCTCGTGGGGCATGGGGCAGACATGTTTCTGCGTCCCTTTCACTTTTCCGTTCTTTTAACGGGCAAGTAGTTGATCAGACTTCTGTGCCCTGCCCGATCGAAACAATTGTATGTTTCCCTGGGATTCGAACCCAGGACCTCTCGCGCTTACAGCAATGCAAGGCCATACGTTTAACCATTTGGCTACAGAGGCGGTCCTTTATCATAGAAAACAATAATAGAAATCGTCTGTACTATACGCGTATAATACAATTTAATTAAAACTTTTAACGGTTAAAAACGCGTTATTTAATAGATATATTTAATTGATTTTGACAACGACCCAGCGTTTCGTATGCTTTGAACTGTAATTAAAGTTATTTCGCGTTTTGAACCGTTTAACTTGTTTTATTGGAATATCGAAACTTTTCTTCGTTATCGCAACCTATATTCTACGAGTGAGGTAAGAATCCGGCAAAGCAAAGCTTTCAAAAGTCGTTACAAAACCAAAAACGCTCGCCGTCCCTTTCTCTCGCGCGACGATGCCGCAAGTGCGAAAGAGACGGTGGGCTTTACGAAAACTTTCGCCGCAACGTAACGCTTTGCGTAAGAGCTTGATCTAGGTTACGGTGATAGCACACCGCATGGACTACATTCGGTAACTTTGGTACTAAAGAGTTCTACGGGGAATTGAACGGCGATTAACCGAACCGCCAATTATCCGAATCCGAAGCCGAATGGATGTTAACCTCTTTCGGATAAACTAAAGAACCGGATGATTTAAACACATTGTTTAGTTCGATCTTCTTCGAAGTTTCTTCGATCAAATTATAAGTAAATTTTCTGGAACATGTTGGGACTTCATCTGGTAATCTGGACATTGAATGGGTCGTAAGAAGGAAGGTCACCAACCACCGTTCATAGATGAAAAGGCCGAGTTTAATCGCGTTTCGGTTTCAGTTCGTTGATTTCCGAATATCCAAAGCCACAATAGACCAACAGCACATCGTGTTGAGATGTCAAATGGCTGGGCTATTTACCTTCCATCAAGTGAAGCAAGCCCGAGTTTATCTGTCCGCCTCTGTTATAAAAAAGCCTGGTCCAGTCTAAAGTTAAAACAGTTTAGCTTGGCACTAACCGACGCTGAGCCGCCGCTGATCGTGGTGAGAATGGTGGTGGTGCTGCTGCCGCTTGGCCGGCGCGGCAGGGTGCTGGTGGGGGGGGCGGGGACTGCGCGACGCACGCCTCCTTCGGGCTGCCGGCGCTGCTGCCATCACTATAAGAGACCAAGGCACAGGTCAATATTATTTTATTTACAGAAAGTAGGAGATTGTATGAAGCGTCGTAATTTGCGAAATTAATAATAAGATTGTTATTTTACCCTATATATTCCAAGACATGGAAAAATTATAAACATTACAACAGACACCCTAATTATTGTGTTAATCGGAAACGACGTAATGTATTTTAAAATTCTCTTCTGTCGTTATTTTTTTTAGATTCATAGAAAATTAAGTTTATCGTATTTAAGAACCCGGATAAACGTGGTCTGCGGTTCAATTCTCGATCGATCCAATTTTTGCCTACATTCTAACGCTTCTCTCCGATAAAGGAGATACCTGTTAATATGGTAAGCCTGTGCAACATTTAAGGAAGTCAGAATCCCAACACTTGGAATCGAGGGAATAGATGTTTACTTTCCTCAGATAAGTATCTAAGATTAGTTAGTGTTTAGTTTTTTTTTATGATTTAGAGTCGGATAAGCATAGCCCAGCCTTTTTTAACTAATGGCTTTATTAATTCGGTAATCCACAGACTGATACGCGATTAAACTTCGTCTGTGGACGATGGCTTGTGACCCAGACCAGCCATTTGAGACCCAGACGAAGCCCAACATGCTTCAGAAGAATTTGGTATATAATGATTAGAAATTTCAAAAATGTTGGATACGGTGGGGAACCCCCGTCCCGTTGTTACATGTTAATGCACACGATGGCACTATATAAATTAAAAATCAATAGGAAATTAAAATAATTTTCAACACAGGCAGGTCTCGAACCGGTATCTACAGCGTTCCGTGTTGCTCTAACCAATTGAGCCACCGAGTCCTACACGTCATCGTCGAATTTTCATCTATTTATCTACGCACTCCTCGCGCAATATAATTTCAACCTTTACAAGAACGTGAGCACCAAACGCTGTAGATGCCGGTTCAGGTCCTGCCTGCGTCGTAAATTTTTCAATTTAACGATTTTTAATTTAAAATGCCGTACATTTGAAAAAGGCTACCATTGGAGAAAGGAAGCTACTTTGCTATCAGGAGAGATATGCTAGAAGCGAATTCTATTGGAACAATGTGTCCATTCTATTTATATCGCCAACACTATCTTGGTTTCAACACGTCCGTTGCTTCGTCTTTATCATAGTGATACGGTTTGTGCTCGGTATATAGAAATGGGCGAATCACGAGTGCGTAAATGAGAGTAATGTTTTCACTTAAACACTGTCTATAGTTTACGCGAGTAGTACACATTTAAATAAAACACTTTAACGATTTAAAACGCGATATATTAGTTAAACTTATTTAAAAATGATTTTTAACTTCGGCCCGACGTTTCGGATGCTTTGCAGCAGTCGTGGTCACGGGAAGACAACGGCTGCTGCAAAGCATCCGTTAGTATTTTATTTACTTAAATATGTTTTCACTTTTTTAATAAAACAAATCTATACTAATAGATAAAGCTGAAGAGTTTGTTTGTTTGTATGTCAAACATACGCGCTAATGTCAGAATCTACTGGTTATACGCTTACAACACATCGCGATGTGTCTGTGAAAATTTTGCCATCTTAGAGGGTCTCCAATGCGTACGCTGCGAAAGCGGTTGAAGATACCCAAAAAAATATTTATGATAGAATTATTCCTTTTCTATACTACTAATATTCCCTTTAAAGAATGTAAAGAAATGTCCGCCACAATATATGTCTATCTTTTAAGACCGACGCGACCGACGTAACAACTTAAATTCATAAAAATGAGAAGGTTTACAAAAACAAAAGACAAAAATCATTTATTCATGTAGGTAGGTAGCTTTGTACACTTATGAACGTCAAAACGGGTAAAAATTTAAAACTCTAAATTTACAGTTACTACCAATTCCCAAGTTAGGGCGCAGAACGAAAGAGAAGAACTGGCAAGAAACTCGCCGCCACTCCTTTTAATTGCCAAGTTTTTATTACGTTTCCTTATATTCCTTACGCACTCATTGTGTCAATTCTTCCTTGATAGAGCGGGTTCCTCCACACCCCAAGCATTTTTATCATTTAAATATTCATTTACGTTATAATACCCCTTTTCAATTCAAGCAGTTTTTGTTTAACATACGATTTAACGTGTTTTAACTTAACTAGGGATTATATTAAAATACCAAGGACCAAAAGGGTCGGTACACTTATTTTATGGTTATTGTGTGTATTATATTGATGAAAACTGCCATTTGTTTTAAAATAATGTAAATTTTTTCGAGAAAAATTTGGATGTCCAAAAAAACTACACGGACGAAGTCGCTTATAAAACTAGTCAATACTAATATAATATGAGGAGTTTGTTTGCTTATTTCAAAAACTACTGTTTCGAATTGAAAATTATAGTTTTGTTTTTTTGAAGAGAGAAGTAAAAGCAAGAAATGTGTAAAAAAAGATGAAAAAGGGGTTTCTGTTGCGTAAGCTGAGAATACGGTTTAAGATACCAAAAAATGAATTATTTAGAATTTCTCTTTATTTCCTGAATCTTATTTTATGGTCTAAAGAAATGTCCGCCACAGTATAATATGTCTATCTTTTAAGATTAACTTGCAAGAACGACGGGACGCGGACGACTTCGTAGGTAACAATTATAATTTATAAAAATGTAGAGGCCACTAACACAGCTAGGATGGAGGAGCTATGATAGAGGAGGACAGACAAGCAGGGGTTTCACTTGATGATAGGTGAAATACCTCAGCCATTGAGGAACTAAACAAGATGCACTGTCGAACTATTAAGGCTTTGGATATTCGGAAATCCAACCTGAACCCAAAAAGGGATTTTACTTGACGGCTTCTTCATTTGTGGACAGGGGTTCGTGACTCGGACTGAATTTTGACGTTCCACCACCCATCCTAATAGAGAATGCCACAACCCTAACATACCCAGCCAGTTCCGCCAAATAAAAATTCCGACTATAGATGGCGCTAGCGTACGTACCAGTTCTTACTTTGACATTAGACACACCCTCCATCTCCAATCCTCCCAGAAACTTCAAGCCGTAATTAAAGTAAGTTAACTAATAAATTTCGCGTTTTAAGCCGTTAAAAGTGTTTTATTTCAATACTAGTATAAACTACAGACACTATTAATAATCCTAAATAAATAGTGACTATTTATTTATAACGTATTATATAATATTTCGTCCTATATCTCTAAAGATAGCATACGACAACAAGCAGTACGTAGTACGTACTGAGGACAATGCGGTTCGGAACAAAGCGACGCCGTGACGTCACCGGCTTGCGTCAAAGCATTGTGGCTGCGCGAGCGCACGAAAACCGCCGTCCTTCGTATTCGCTTCTACCTGGTTTCTTTTGTATGATTTGCGTAGGAAAAAACTTAAACTAGGAAACGTTCGCTCGAATAAATGTATTTTCCCGTTGAGTTATAAGTTTATCTATCTTTTATTATCTTTTCGATGTGTGCAACGGTGTATACTTTAGTTTTGAATTGTTAATTCAATGGTGATATTTCCCATCAGTCCATCTTGTCTCTAATATAAAAGAAAATATTTCTAAACATATCTAGAACATCGGAATATTGAATGGTCGGTAGGAAAATGAAAATTCTACTGCCGTCACGAACTACCAATGGAAAATCTATGTAATCTCATCGTGTTTGGGTTTTAGCCTGCTGAGGGTCCGAACCCCTTAAAAGGTCGACAGCCCATCTTCGCTCTACGATAAATGTTTTACAGCTGAGGTATTTTACGTATCATCTAGCGTTCCATTTTCGTCCGTTCTCAAGCAATTTTCTTAAAAATTACGTCCTGGTTGCGTCAATGTTTACAAATGGAAAAGTCACCTTTCCTCATGAGTCTGTGTATTTCTAAATGCCAATAAATCACAATAGGTCAGCAAGGCATTCGATGTTACAGGCTTGGTGCAATGAGGTCATCTTCTACCATCATCATCAAGTGAAACTTAAGTTCGGCAAGCTTGTCTCAAAGATATTTGTTTTTGTTTCACGGGATTCAAACCCAGCTTACAATTAACGAGGTGATGAAAGACGATTGACAGAAGAACACTGTGTCTTTACGAAAACGTCTCTTTACGCACCGAGCGTGTCATTGTAACATCGACCTTGGTCCGACGTCACAAGGTCGACATTCGAATGCAAGGTCGCGTCGCTCGCCACCTCTTCCGTCGACTTTGTTACAAAGTAAATAGAAAACAGTGCTAGGCATTATTTATATGGAGCTGCCTAACCCGCATCGTGTATCGCATAGCGATGGTTCAAGCGGAGGCCGATACCCCTACGGGGCGATCGTGGTCTGCCCGCAAGCACGGCAAACGTTCGGCCGAAATCTATACTAATATATAAATCTGAAGAGTTTGTTTGTTTGTATGATTGAACGCGCAAATCTCAGGAAGTACTGAGAAAGGCTATATATAGACTATAAAACATCGCCCTGTGACTAATACAGCGAAGATACAGCGAGAAATGGGAAAAATGGGAAAATTATCCATCATTATGGGTTTCAAAGGCGTACACTGCGAAAACTGTTCAAGATACCCAAAAAATATGAACGACGGGACGCGGACGACGTCCCGTCCCGTAACGCTTAAATTTAGGGGTGAACAGGGGGTTTGCAAACAAAAATTGATATCAAAAATTCCACGCGGACGAAGCCGCTGACACAGCCAGTACATAATAAAAATAATCATTACATAAACGCGAAGGGTCCGAAGTTTAAATCCCAGCCGAAATTGCTCATGAGTAACAATTTTTTACAGATTTCCACACAAATAAATATAATAGAATGCCCGACGCGTTGTAAATCGACCCGACGGCATGTTGGATACTAACCAAACATTGCTAGTATTGAATTCATCGTTTGACACTGTTTCCAATCTACTACGAGTAAATGACAAGCTAGACTTTTAAAGGAGGCCATTGGAATTCTTTCCAATCCTCCTTTGTACAAAGTCGGTATACAACACACAGGCATCAAAAGCAAAGCCTTTTCTT